TGTGGATCTTCCTGGTGGTAGTTTGACTAAGTCCCATGTCTGATTCTCCATCAGAGAGTCATATTCTGCTTTGACAGCCGCCTCCCACTGTTTGGCATCATGTCTGGTCCTAGCTTCAGCCAGAGTGCTGGGTTCTTCCTGTGGAACTTCCCCAATGGTGAAGGCAAATGCCAGATTTGACTGAGTTGGCTTTGCAATCCACCACTCTCCCGGTGGTTTGTGAAATCTGGCACTCTTCCTGCTGAGTTCTGGCACTTCCTCAGCATCCTGGAAGTCGTCCCCATCATCTTCTGATGCTGAAGAGTTGTCTGGAGTGATGCTAGATGGTCTCTGAGTCTCTTGAACCATCCCTAGCCCTTCTTGGTCATCCAAGAACGAAGGCTCCCCTCCCAGAGGCATCTGTAGCTCTTGGTCTTGCTGTGGTACACTCTGCAGTCGCTGCTGAGTGCTCCACATCAAGTTTTCATCAAAGATGACGTCCCTTGACATGACAACTTGGTTCATTTCAGGTACCCACAGTCTGTAGGCCTTACTCTGAGTGCTGTAGCCGACCATGACTGCCTTCTTGGCCTTCTCATCAAGTTTTGACCGCTTTTCCTTTGGAATATGAGTGTAGGCCATGCAGCCAAACACTCTGAGATGCCGGAGATCTGGTTTACCGCCTGTAAACTCTTGAAATGGTGTTGATTGGTTGCTGAGTGCTGCAGTGGGGCTCCTGTTCCTGAGATAGACCGCTGTCATGATTGCCTCGCCCCAGAACTTGTAGCTGAGTCCACTGTGGTGCAGCATGCACCTTCCCATTTCCACCAGCGTTCTGTTCATCCTCTCAGCAACACCATTCTGCTCTGGTGTGTAGGGGGTGCTGAATTGCTGCTGAATTCCCTTCTGCTTGCAGAATTTCTTGAATTCTTCGCCCACATACTCTCCCCCATTGTCTGATCTGAGAGTTTTGATCTTCTGCCTCGTGAAGTTGGTTGCCCAGGCCTCAAACTCCTTGAATTTGCTGAGAACCTCACTCTTCTCCTTCAGAAGATAAACTGCCGTCATCCTTGACTTGTCATCAATGAATGTGACAAAGTACTTTGCCCCACCATGACTTGGTGTCTTCATGGGCCCACACACATCACTGTGAACCACCCCCAGCAGTAGAGCTGCTCTAGCTGCTTCTCCCTTTGGAAAGGGACGCCTGGTGATCTTTCCAATGGCACAGGCTTCACACGGTGATGTTTCTGCGTGATTCTTGACCTCCAGACCGCTTCCCAGCTGGTTCCTAGCCAAGATTTTGATGCTGTTGACGTTCAGGTGTCCTAACCTGCGATGCCAGAGGTCCAAACTCATTCCAGAGGCTATGTTTGCATGTTCTCTTGCATGAAACATGTATAGACCGCCACCTAGAGTTCCCTGGATTGCTTCCTGACCGTCTGAAGTCTTGATACAGCATCCCTTGCTGCCAAACTCAACTTTGGCACCATTTTCAGTGGCTCTTCTTACTGAAAACAAGTTCTTTTCAAGCTTGGGAACAAACCACACGTCTCTGAGGGTACAGAATCGGTTTCTGCCTGTCTCAAGTGTGATCTGGCCCTTCCCTATTGCCTGAACTGTTCTGTTGTCCGCCAGATGGACTTGAATTGGTGACATCTCCATGTAATTGGTCATCCAATCCTTCCTGTGTGACATGTGCTGTGAAGCACCCGAGTCCACAATCCACCAGACTGCTCCCTGAGAGGTTTTGGTGTCATCTCCCGACTGAGCAAAGAATAGGAACTCATTCTGAGTTGCCTGACTGGTGCTGGCTTGATTGGCTTGTTGTTTGGTGTCCGCCAGAAACTTCCTGCAGTCCTTCTTGAAGTGACCCTTCTTGTTGCAATAGAAGCACTTCCCTGCTATCTTCTTGGTCCCACCATGCTTGCCAACCTTCTGCCCACCATCCCTGCTGAAAAAGGCCTTCCCTTTGCTATCTCCTTCACTCCCAGCTTCCTTCCTGCGTGTTTCTTCATGCAAAAGCCGTGATGTGAGGAATTCCAGCGTCAGAGAATCACTCCTGGCCTCCAAAGACACCACCAGCTGTTCATAACTCTCTGGTAGGCTGTAGAGTAGGGTGATGACTTGGTCTTCTTCACTGACTGGCGCCCCAATGGCCTCCAACTGCTGAGCCATTGTCCTGACCGTGTTTATGTGTCCCAACATGCCCCCAGTGCCGTCTTCCATCTTCAGAGTAAGAAATTTCCTCCTTAGATAGAGCCTACTGGCAATTCCCTTCCTTTGGTGGACGTCACTGAGCTTTAACCAGGCCTCTTTTGCAGTTACAGCGGTCTGTACATGCATGAGTTGGGCATCACTCAGTGACAGAGCAATTACAGCCATTGCCCGCTCATCCCTTCTCCTCCAATCCTTCTCAGAGGTTCCCTCCATGCTCTGATCCCCCTCAATAACACCCCACAGCCCCTTTTCCTTCAGCAACATCGTCATTTTGAACTTCCATAGGTGGTAGTTCACGCCATTGAACTTTTCCATCGTGAGTTTGGTGTCCAAGTCCGTGTTTGACATGTCTGAGCTGATTTGGTGAGTGGATGTGCTGTTGGAGAAGAGGTGAAATCGTCCTGGTGTGGTAGGTGGTCCAAATATGAGGTTGGGAAGAAGATAGGTCCGTCAGGAAGATGGTGTGGCCGTCAGAAAAGAGATTTGAAGCAGGAAAATATCAGTGATAGCTATCAGGGCTCATAACCTATTGAAACTTAGCGCTTGGAACACTGATTTCCCATGTAGAAATCACTTCTGGAAGGCCTAGTAATGCCTGTGGCCGCTAGTAAGACTTCTGGGTGCAGTAACTTGTGGGATAACACGCTTGTATTTATCCAGAGACGTTCAAAAGTCCCCTTTATGTAACCCAGTACATTCTCCAGCCTCCCTCCGCCTTTGTTTACTGTTTACATGCTTCAGCCCACTTGTTTACATGCTCAGCCGTGCTCAGCAGTGCTCAGCAGCTTCAGCCATGCCTTGGCAAACATTACCTGAAGATCTAGATCGTCACAAACCTTCCAGACCTTCTAAGAGTGCTTACATGATGATTTACCCCTTTAAATCATTCCCACACGCGTCTGTGGTCATTCTGATTGATCTTAGTCCAATTCCCCACGTTGTAACTTAGCCAAATCAGATGTGAACTGTCTAATGACATCCCAGCATGATCTCACATGATTTATAGATCATACAGCGTGGTTTAAGCCTGAATCTCAACAAGAACCACCAGAACCCCCAGGACACCAGAGAATCCCAGCACCCTGGGAGAACCCAGGACACTAGAAAAACCCAGAAACCTAGGACACCCCAGAACACCAGTAAAACCCAAGAAACCCAGAACTCCCCAGTACCCCAGGAACCAGAAGTTGCCCCATATTCTTTGGGCAGGACCCCAGGAACAGCTATCCCCAGGAACCACCTCCTCATTGTCAAGGCCTCAGCTCAAGGCATCCCAGTCACCATCCTCTTGGACAATGGCGCTGACCAGTTCTATATCTCTCAAGACTTTGTGAGGAAGGCACAGCTTACTGTAGAGCCCCTGGCAGGAGCTGAGATCACCATGGCAGACAACAAGAAGTACCCAGGAACTGGCTTTGTTAAAAGCCTACAGTACTCTGTTGGCACCCACACTGAGATATCTGACTTCATAGTGGCACCTGTGAAGTTTGATATAATCTTAGGAGTTCCCTCGTTTGCTTGGAGGAACCCCAGTATCAACTACCAGAAGGGAACCATCACCTTTGAGACCTCCCAGCACCCTAGAGTCAGGTGGTTTGCCAACACTGTACCAGCACCTACCACCCCCAAGCCAGAACCCAATATCACCATGGTATCAGCAAAGATGTTGGCCAGAACCCTGAAGAAGAGGACAGCAACAGCTTTTGCTGTGTATTTCAAGAACCCTCAAGATACCAGTACCCCACCAGACACCATGGATTCCAAAGTCACCAAGCTTCTTGAAGACTATCAAGATGTCTTTGCTGAAGAGCTTCCCCCAGGACTTGCCCCTGAGAGAACAGTGGATCACAGAATTGAACTCAGTGACCCCAACCAGACCCCCTGGAGACCAACCTACCACCTCTCTTCTTTGGAGTTAGAAGAACTGAGGAAGCAGCTGTCTGAACTTCTGGAGGCAGGCCACATCAGACCATCCAAGAGCCCCTTTGGAGCACCCATCCTCTTTGTCAAGAAGAAAGAAGGGTCTTTGAGGATGTGTGTGGACTACAGGGCTCTGAACTGTTGAGATTCAGGCTTAAACCACGCTGTATGATCTATAAATCATATGAGATCATGCTGGGATGTCATTAGACAGTTCACATCTGATTTGGCTAAGTTACAACGTGGGGAATTGGACTTAGAGTAATCCGAATGATCACAGATGCATGTGGGAATGATTTAAAGGGGTAAATCATCATGTAAGCACTCTTAGAAGGTCTGGAAGGTTTGTGATGATCTAGATCTTCAGGTAATGTTTGCCAAGGCATGGCTGAAGCTGCTGAGCATGGCTGAGCATGTAAACAAGTGGGCTGAAGCATGTAAACAGTAAACAAAGGTGGAGGGAGGCTGGAGAATGTACTGGGTTATATAAAGGGGACTTTTGAACATCTCTGGATTAATACAAGCATGTTATCCCACAAGTTACTGCACCCAGAAGTCTTACTAGCGGCCACAGGCATTACTAGGCCTTTCAGAAGTGATTTCTACATGGGAAATCAGTGTTCCAAGTGCTAAGTTCAATAGGTTATGAGCCCTGATAGCTATCACTGATATTTTTCCTGCTTCAAATCTCTTTTCTGACGGCCACACCATCTTCCTGACGGACCTATCTTCTTCCCAACCTCATATTTGGACCACCTACCATACCAGAACGATTTCACCTCTTCCCCAACAACAAATCCACTCACCAAATCAGCTCAGACATGTCAAACACGGACTTGGACACCAAACTCATGATGGAAAAGTTCAATGGCATGAACTACCACCTCTGGAAGTTCAAAATGACAATGTTGCTGAAGGAAAAGGGGCTGTGGGGTGTGATTGAGGGGGATCAGAGCATGGAGGGAACCTCTGAGAAGGATTGGAGGAGAAAGGATGAGCGGGCAATGGCTGTAATTGCTCTGTCACTGAGTGATGCCCAACTCATGCATGTACAGACCGCTGTAACTGCAAAAGTATTGAAACTTAGCGCTTGGAACACTGATTTCCCGTGTAGAAATCACTTCTGAAAGACCTAGTAATGCCTGTGGCCGCTAGTAAGACTTCTGGGTGCAGTAACTTGTGGGATAACACGCTTGTATTAATCCAGAGACGTGCAAAAGCCTCCTTTATATAACCCAGTACATTCTCCAGCCTCCCTCCGCCTTTGTTTACTGTTTACATGCTTCAGCCCACTTGTTTACATGCTCAGCTGTGCTCAGCAGTGCTCAGCAGTGCTCAGCAGTGCTCAGCAGCTTCAGCCATGCCTTGGCAAACATTACCTGAAGATCTAGATCATCACAAACCTTCCAGACCTTCTAAGAGTGCTTACATGATGATTTACCCCTTTAAATCATTCCCACGCGCATCTGTGATCATTCTGATTACTCTAAGTCCAATTCCCCACGTTGTAACTTAGCCAGATCAGATGTGAACTGTCCAATGACATCCCAGCATGATCTCACATGATTTATAGATCATACAGCGTGGTTTAAGCCTGAATCTCAACAATGGGAAGGTGCATGCTGCACCACAGTGGACTCAGCTACAAGTTCTGGGGCGAGGCAATCATGACAGCGGTCTATCTCAGGAACAGGAGCCCCACTGCAGCACTCAGCAACCAATCAACACCATTTCAAGAGTTTACAGGTGGTAAATGAGATCTCCAGCACCTCAGAGTGTTTGGCTGCATGGCCTACACTCATATTCCAAAAGAAAAGCGGTCAAAACTTGATGAGAAGGCCAAGAAAGCAGTCATGGTCGGCTACAGCACTCAGAGTAAGGCCTACAGACTGTGGGTACCTGAAATGAACCAAGTTGTCATGTCAAGGGATGTCATCTTTGATGAAAACTTGATGTGGAGCACTCAGCAGCAACTGCAGAGTGTACCACAGCAAGACCAAGAGCTACAGATGCCTCTGGGAGGGGAGCCTTCGTTCTTGGATGACCAAGAAGGGCTAGGGATGGTTCAAGAGACTCAGAGACCATCTAGCATCACTCCAGACAACTCTTCAGCATCAGAAGATGATGGGGACAACTTCCAGGATGCTGATGAAGTGCCAGAACTCAGCAGGAAGAGTGCCAGATTTGACAAACCACCGGGAGAATGGTGGATTGCAAAGCCAACTCAGTCAAATCTGGCTTTTGCCTTCACCATTGGGGAAGTTCCACAGGAAGAACCCAGCACTCTGGCTGAAGCTAGGACCAGACATGATGCCAAACAGTGGGAGGCAGCTGTCAAAGCAGAATATGACTCTCTGATGGAGAATCAGATGTGGGACTTAGTCAAACTACCACCAGGAAGATCCACAGTTGGCTGCAAGTGGGTTTTCAAGCTGAAACTCAAGTCAGATGGCACTACAAGGCCAGACTGGTAGCCAACGGATACTCCCAAGTTGAAGGACTGGACTACAAGGAGACATTTGCCCCAGTAGTCAAGTTTGCAACCATCAGGACGGTCCTGACACTAGCAGCCATGAAGGACATGGAGATTCACCAAATGGATGTCAAAACAGCATTCTTGAATGGGACCATTGAGGAGGACATCTACATGGACCAACCAGAAGGCTTCACCATGGCAAATGGACTTGTCTGCAAGCTAAAGAAGAGTTTGTATGGGTTAAAGCAAGCTCCAAGAGCCTGGAACAAAGTCATTGATGGGCAACTCAAAGAACTTGGCTTTGAAAGGTGTGAATCAGACCACAGGCTGTACATCAACAAGAAGATGGGCATCCACCTTATCCTTTATGTGGATGACCTTATTCTGGCATCAAAGGATGACCTGCAGTTGCTGCGACTCAAACAAGAACTCAAGAAGTGGTTCAAGATGGCAGATGTTGGACAACTAGAGCAGTTTCTGGGGAGCCAAGTAGTAAGGGACAGCAATAACAGGATAATCTGGCTATTACCACAACAGAATGGCCAGGTGCTGACCCAGGCAATGTTACCACAAACTGAGGCAGAGCAGCAAGAACTGCATGGAGTTCCCTTCAGGACTGCAGTTGGGAGTCTCACTTATGATTGCACAATGCTGGGTACCAGACCAGACATAGTAGTGGCAGTAGAATTAGTCAGCCAGTATCCATCAAACCCTGGACACCAGCACTGGATAACAGTCAAATGGAATATGTAGTACCTGAATGGCACCACACTTTAACAGGATGGCATTCAGACCAAGTGGGAGCTCTGTGTATACTCTGATGCAGCTTAGGGAAGTGATTTGTGACTACTGGAAATCCACCACTGGGTGTTTAGTGAAGATTGTTGAAAGGCTATGTAGTTTTTTCTGGTAGGTATGTTAAGTTTAGTGATAGACAAAACTGGTCTAGATAGCAGGAATAATACTAATATAGTTATAGTATTAGTAAATATAGTATTAATACTATAATATAATATTAGTAAAATATTAAGTAGTTACATTGTATAGATTTTATATATATGTGGATAATAACTATAATATAATATCTTGTTCAAATAATATTATTGCTAATGGATCTGCCAACTTACTCCCAACTAGGTTGCAACAGCTTGAAAATAATTATAATATGCTAGGTAGTCTATTACAATGGGTAGCTATTATACTGTTCTATACAGTAGTTATAATTCACAGGGATTTTGGCTGTTGTAAAATACTGCATTTTTTTGCCTATAATTTACATGTAAGCTGCACCCCAGAAGTAATTATTCTGTGGCATGACTTTCTGTCATCTATGTTGGTGTTTTAGCTTTGGACTATTGGGAGTTTGCAACTAGAAATGGATTTCAAGGTACCAGTTCCCCTCGTTCATCGTTGCTCTTGCGTGTCCGAAGAGTCGGACATCGGCCAGTCTTCCCAACCTGATTTGTGGGCCAACAAGCCGATCTCACATTGAGCAATGCTTGTAGGCCAACCTAGAACCCCTATACGACGAAGAAAAGGAAATTCGTTAGAATCGAGTCCCAATAGTCAGCCAAATGACTCGTTTCGTGAAGGCTTGGACAGTGCCAAGCTGCAACGTCGCCGGTCTGTGGTGGAGGATCGTCTTCGTCGGGCCTCGGGCATTTTTTCTCCAGCGAGGAAGCCGGGTTCTGGCACCGTTACCCCTGCGCGGGCGAGGCTCTCTGACGATGAGGTCCGCCGCTCATTTGAGGAGTGGATGAAGATTGCTGCGGACAATGTAAAATTCTCTTTGATTGTGTGTTTTCAGCTTCGCAGCCTCCCTCACCACTGGGCTTCAGAAAATCAATGCCACCAATAGCTGGAATTTAGCTTTGATTGATTATTTCCATGATATGACCCTGCTTCGAGATGGAGATTCCATTAATTTTCAGAAAGCGTCGTGTACGCTTGATGGCTGCGTGAAGATATACACATCAAGAGTTGATTCAGTTGACTCGGAAACCAAGAAGCTTCTCAGCGGTCTAGTTGACACAGATAAAAGTATGCGAGTGAAAATGTAGAATATCTTCTGTAATTCCGTTACGAATCGTCTTACTCTGAAGCTATTTCAGGACCCGACGACGACGATTTAGAATCCGGGGAAGACGATGATCAGATGAACACCAAACCTTCAAAGAAAAGGGTATAGATCATTCCAAAATGCAAATCAGCAAAGAAATTGTGGAGATCTAAATATCTTTTCTTAGGCAAACCGAAGTGGGAATACCTTGGAAAGAGATATTAATAATCTAAACGTGAAGAAATTTGACCTAGAATTCATGGTTGATCCACTGTTCAAGAAAACCTCTGCTGATTTCGACGAAGGCGGTGCGCATGGTCTGCTGCTCAATCATCTCAGTATCTCCCCAGAGGGCAGGATGGTTTTCGATGCCGGAGACGCTGACATGGCCTCACGTGTTGCTGCGCCGGAAACATTGAAAGAAGATGCAGCTCGAGAGTGCATCGACATCATTAAGCTGAAAGGTATAGGGCTACCGGATAGGAGAACAGTACATCTATCATTCCCAATTGTTCATCTCTTCATGTAGCACGATTTTTAGATAATCTCACCGATATCTGGGACCAGGATGTTTGCAACACGTTAAAGAGCTTCGAATTTAGTTCATCCAGTGGCTCGTGGACGCCATTCCCAGAGAACAGTGCCTTTGACTTTGATTTTTCTACACCGGATGATGAAGCAGATCAGAGTAGCCCTTTCGATGATGAAAGGAGCCAGTCTATTTACGGAAATTATGAAGAGCGAGAGAGCTTCGCTGGTGTAATTGAGCAAGGAACTGGTGTGAGCTCTAGCGGTCCTCTCTCGGAGGCCGCTATTTTGATGACAATGGGGCGCGCAGATGATAACATATTTTCTTACTTCGACACGGCCATGGCCCGTAGCTGGGCAGGCCCTGAGCATTGGAGATCTCTTCCAGCCCAAAGTGCGTTTATACCTCCAAGGAACCCATTCGCCTTGGATTCACTTTCTCATGTCTGTTTTGTCTTTGGCAGGAGTCAAGGATTCCAAAGATCCCCCCGCAACGAAGCGCAAAAGAAAGAACGAGAATGTTTTGAACTTCATAGAGATCCAGGCAATGGGTGAAGATCGGCTTTTTGCTCCGACCGCTGCTTCCATAATATTGCCCAAGCAAACGGAGAGAAATAGATCCACCCGTTTGTTGCCTGATGATATGCACTTTTCTTCCAAGGATTTCTTGCAGTTATTCTTGAAAAGCCGATATAAGGTGCGCAGGCGTTTTCGTATAACTTGTAAAATGACGCGTCCAAACTAGACGGCTGCTATAGATAAAGTTTTATCGGAAAGATGGGACAATCACCAAAAGCTCCAACGAAGGTCAGTAGTTCATAGATGCTCTCATCGACAGGTGGTAAATTCACGGAATTTGATAGATGGCCCTGTGGACGAACTTTTTTGGGCCGAGCACGATATTGAACCGAACGCATCCTCTACAGATGATCAAAGTATGTAATATAGTCGTTGAACAAGTTCGTGATACAGTAGGGCCTAAGACTGTCACTTCCTCATGAGTTCTCGCGTCGGATAATCCAGAGGGATCCGACGACGACGATGCCGACGATGACGAGCTTGACGAGGACGTTTCTCTTTCCCAGACGGACCAAGCAACGACACTTGAATTCGGTGACCAACTTGTCGATCAGCCAAAGAAAGTAAAAGCTGTACCATTAAACTACGCTCGAGTGGCGAAGAAGGTGGATGTCAAGAAATTGAAAGAGAACATTTGGAAGGAACTTACACTGCACCAGCCAAGTGAACAGGTATTGCAAATTTTTCCCTGCCACGCACCGCCCATTGCTAAGGATATTTCATAATAGCGCCAATCAAACTCCCTGCACGCTACAGGGGCAACATCATTCACAGATATTGTCCGTGGACTGGACAATTTCTACCCCGAGAAGAAAAGGAAGGACATATCTGTAGCCTTCTGCTTCATCTGTGTGCTACATCTGGCCAATGAGCAGAATTTGAAGGTTGTTGGAAATTCCGATCTGTGTAATTTACTGATAAGCCACGAGCCGGAACACGGTTGAGATGATGTTAACTATTGACAATATGAATGTAAATCTTATCACTAAATTACGCCGCGACTATATATACACTTCACTCGCGACCTGCACGTATATCTTTTAGTCGAATGGCCACCGCATTTCGATGAGCTTCCAACCCTTCAACTTCCGCCAGCGTCGTCACTGTGTCACCCAACCTGTCTAAACCCTCGCGGGTCAGCATTTGGCTAGTGATATGTTTCACGAACGTGAGAGTATTGACGCCTGAGTACATTCGGGCATATCCATACGTCGGTAATGTATGATTGGTGCCTGACGCATAGTCTCCACAGCTGAAAATAAGAAATATCAGGTGTCTGGTTTCAATAAAGGGATTGTGATCTTAGCGTACCTTTCAGGTGAGTAGGGGCCGACGAAGACCGATCCGGCATTCTGCACTTGGTCTACCCAATTCTCGGCTTCCTCAAGATGAAGAATTAGGTGTTCTGGTGCGTAACGGTTTGAGAAGTCCATCGCTTGCTCCATTGTGTCGACTCTCAAAATATAACTTTTTGGGATAGACTCCCTAACAATCGCTGCGCGAGGCAACGCTTCACCCTGGGTTTTCACTTCTCGTTCAATCGCTGCAACGTCGGCATCTGCGAGACCGACGGCAATCAAGACAACCTGACTATCTGCGCCGTGTTCTGCTTGGCTCAGCAAGTCGGACGCAACGTACGCGGGATTGCAGCTAGAGTCAGCAATGACCTACAAGATCGACGAGCGGTTCAACGACGCGTCGTGTCCGAGATGATATCATAGTGAACCTACCAAGAGTTCAGAGGGACCAGCCGGCATATCGATGGAAACCATGGCTGAACTGTCGCTCTACATGTTTAGGCATATATTTAAAACTGCATGCTATGCACAAGCTATCGAAATTGCGGTCAACCTACCTGGGCTATCATCTTCGCTGCTGTTACGTATTGATTACCAGGACCGCATATCTTGTCGACTTTCGGCACACTGGCGGTACCATATGCCATGGCCGCAACAGCCTGAGCACCGCCAGCCACCACAACTGTTGAGGCTCCGATCTTATGTGCCACATATATTACTTCGGGCGCCACTGAGCCATCCTTGCGCGGAGGAGTCGCAATGACAATTTCTGAACAACCCGCTACTTTTGCAGGGACACCCAACATGAGGGTACTGGACGGAAGCACAGCAGTTCCCCCGGGTACGTAAAGGCCGACTCGTTCAATGGGTCGGAAGAATCGGGTACACACGACTCCTGGCATTGTCTCCACTCGTAATACAGACCGGTCCAACTGAGCCTCATGGAATCGGCGAATATTCTCGTACGCTTGATCAATCGCTTGGCGCACATTTTGCGGCAATAGCATGGCTGTCGATGGGAAAGGTGCTTTCAGGACCGTGGAGGACAACTTTACCCCGTCAAACCGTTCGGTTAGATCAAAGATTGCCTCATCTCCTCGCTGGCGAACATCGGCCATAATGGGTCGTACACGCGCAATGATTTCCTCTGTTTTAATAATAGGTCGAAGTAACAGATTCCTTCGCTGCTCCGGTGTGGTTTCTGCGATGATGTACGTTTTCATCTTGATTTCCTTCTTTTCATCCTCTGCACGAGTTCCATTTCTCGGACTAATGGGCTCTTGAAGACCATTTATTTCATCATGGCTAGCGCCGGTTTGCTTAGGTACGGGGCTACCATTGGATGCCTTCCCTGACATGTCCCATTTTGGCTTCGCGTTCCCCGGGCGACGACTCACTTTCCTTGCACGCCGATCAAGCTGTGCTTCAACATCAGCAAGGCTGACCCCCGCAGCTGTGCACTTGACCAGTGCAAAGTAGATGAGATCGGCCGTTTCCCAAGCAATATCTTCTGCAGACTTTGCGTTGCACAATTCTTCCGCCTCCTCCATAATCTTTGAGTGAAGAAGATCGCGATCATCAAAAAGACGTCGCGTGTAAGACCCTGCAGGGGCTGTGGCTTTCCGACTACGGAGAGTGGCGGCTAAGTGACTTATACCAGAGTCTGGGCCAAAACATGTCCTCGTGTTCCTGTGACAGAAACCTAGAAGAGGTCCTGCATGTGAGAAATATTCATTCAGTCCCGAGAGACATGTTGGTGGACATACCAGGATCAGTTTGCTTGACAATAAATTGAAGTGCGTCTTCGTCACAATCGTATGAGATTTTTAATAACTTTTGGGTTGCGCCCGATGATGCCCCTTTGTACCATAAACCTCGTGTCCTGGACTGGTATACCCCCTGCCCGGTCCGCAGAGCGTGAGATATGCTCTCAACAGATGAGTAGCATAGTCCTAGTGCTACTCGCTGCTCGTCTACCACCACGGTAGGGAACAACCCATCGGATCGGTCCGATATCAGAACCGAAGCAAAGGCCTCACCGATATTGAGTTTGGTCGAGTCTCCCAAGTCAAAGGACAGTCCACTGGCTGGAGCCACCAAATCGATATTGAATTCATGAAGACGGCGAATCAGAGACACAGAGAGTCGCCCTCCCACTACTCTAACGAGGAGATTACCATCTCCGATTGATTGTCGTATCTGCTTTGCTTTCTCCACAATTAGAGTTTCATCCAGATCAGGAGTAGCATCCACCTCCCATAGATAGCCAGAAGTAGCCGTTTTCCAATGTTCAACAATTTCCGACACTCTGACCTCCTTTGCTCCAGCGGGAATAGCCACTAATAATCGCTCGGCTGGTAACCCCTCGATAGCGGACCCGCAGCTCTCAACTTCATCAGCGGAGAAGGCGGGTAGTATAACTCTCCTTGCCCCATCATCTAAGAGCTGCTTCACCTTACGAGTATCGTTCTCGTTGGAAAGGTCCAAGATACAAGACGCCGTCTGCAGGACCGCCACAGGCAGCTCATCAACGTTTCCGGTAGGGAAGCTCAACAAGACGTCTCCAATCAAGTTTAGCCGGGACAGAATGGAGGGGCCTTCCCCCAATTCCCCAAACGTTAATTCCGGCACGATCATTGAGATTATTATCAATAATGCCTTCACAATGGAGTGATGGTTTGTGAAACAGTTGATGGGATCAATCTAGGATGAGTCATCTTGTTGCCATGACTGTCTTGTTTACGTTATCTTTTTGAAATGTAACATACGTGACACTGTATATGACGGGAGAACCGAGCCTCAATGGAAGCTGCCAAGTCCATAATGACGCTTACCCCGGACGTTCAATTCACTCCTGCTGTGGGTGCTGGGGGTCATATTGGTATGTGCTGCAGCAATCTAAAAAGCCATTTGAACATTGATGGTTGACCAACCTCGAGTGTCACGTGACACTCTGCACATGATGAATGATCCCACGACTTGACAGGCAACGTGTTGATATGCGATAAAGTCTTTAACATATCCCGGCAACATAATGCACTTAATTGTTCTTCACCATGGCTTATGGGGGAAACCGTCACATCTTTCGTATCTTGAGAACAGTTTGCGCGAGCGCTTTGGTGATGAAGTGCAGGTTTTAAATTTTGGTGGCAATGCAGGAAATCGCACTTACGACGGTATCGATATATGTGGAGAGCGTCTTGCACGTACGATCCTTGAGTGCCTTTCCAAAAAATCCTTCGACCGTATATCATTTATTGGCTATTCGCTGGGAGGGCTTATAATCCGATATGCTGTCGGTATCCTAGAAGCACGCCATATGTTGGCCAGCCCAACTGCCTCCAATGCCAACGCCGAGGAGAAGCTATGTGTCCGGCCTGTGAATTTTATCACTGTAGCAACCCCACACGCAGGTGCATCCCTTCGCCCAGATTCAACCTGGGCTCGTGTCTATAATATGGCGTCCGCACTGTCCCTCTCAAAGTCTGGAAGCCATATGATGTTGACGGATCGTGATGGCGTGTACCTCCCGACTACAGGCTGTGGCGAAATACAAAGCAAACGGACCAGGCCGCTCCTGGATGCAATGGCGGACCCGGATCTTCCCTTCTGGCAAGGATTGCAGCGGTTCCAAGTACGGAAAGTTTTTGCCAACACGATCAATGATCGAGTCGTAAACTTCACTTCAAGCTCGCTGGAGGAAACGAATCATTATCGTCGAGGCGCGAAATGGGTTGTCTGTGATGCAAAGTATCCATCGATTGTGAAGCTTGTAGGACTGACCTCGGCGGACGTAGACGTGAATGAAGCACTGGTACAAGAAGGTGAAGCTGAAGAAGAGGCCACTGAATCGATAGCTACAGAGAGAGAGATAGTAGATACGGCTCTAGGAGCCACAACCGTAGCGGCTCTCGCAGCTACTGCCGCAACGGCTCCGGCTGCTATAAGAAAGATGCTGTTCTATGTTTTGCTGCCAGTTTTAGTCCCATTGGCGCTTATGATCCTACTGGCATACTACGCCATTGCACGCACTAGACATATCACACAAGGAACGTTTCGAGGACGTGCTGGGAACAGTGTGGATTGGATACTGCAATATCGACCACAAACTTCAAACGAACGGGAGGAAGACCATCCTGGTGGAAAGCCTAATACGCGGTCCTGACCAATTAAGGGAAAAACATTATATTGCGTTTAATCGCTTGGACTGGATTAAGATTCATGTTAGAATCGCAATTCGTAGATCGCATG